GTCATCTTTCTCGTGGACATAGCCCATTTTAGGTGAACCATGTATATGTGCGTGTCCCTCTCTACTTTGTATTTGTGTTGTACTTTGATAGTTTCCCATATTACTTGTTTTATTGTTTTTATATATTTCCCAATTATATTGTACTTGTTATTGCATCTTGGGCATGTTATTTGAGTGTTGAAATCATTGAGGTGTAGTGCTCACTACATCTAGTGGGATTTAAGATATCCCGATTTGCTAAAAAGGGATGATTGGGTTATCCCAATTTTACAACAAGACCCCTCATTGATGCCGGTGACAAGGGGGGAATTTCGCCTTGAAGGGGTGAGCGCCAAACCTTTTTGCTTACAGCCAAATTCGAGATAATCTTTAATTGGAATCTTCTTTGAATTATGCTTTAAAGATAAACACTTGAATTTCAATAGATATTAGTGGATCCATTTGCCATTTTTTAAGTTAGTAAATTTCCTTTATTTTTCTGACCCTAAAAACACTTAACTCTTAGGACCACACTATCCCATAACACCTTAGATTATAAGACACCATGGTTCGCATTTCATGATCCCTTATCCCTTTAAACCCTCATTTAAATTTGAAAATAATCAATATACGGGATAGAGATTGCATTTAAATTCTAAAATGAGAAAATAATCATAAAAAAATGCGTGAGAGATAACGAGAATAAAAATCCCACGATCTGGGTATCTTTAATCTCGATGATACATATCATGTCGTCTTGACAAATTTTACAAAAACAACACATATTGTGTCGTTTGGGTCATTTGGTGCATGTCTTGGATCGCACAGAGGCTGCACAACACGTATCGTGTCGTCTGGACCTGTTTGACCTAGACATCACACAGTGTGTCGTCTGGACTTTTGACCGCCAAAATTTTAAATTTTGATTTTAACTAACTAAATAAGCATCTCGAACCTCTTTCCAACCACTTAGAGGTCTATAAAAGGACCCAAGTCCGACTTCTTGAGGTTGGTCACTTAAGTCAATTAGGCTCCCACTTAGTTTAGGCATTAATGAGTGAAGTGAGATACTTAGAATTTAGGAGAGAGAGAGAAGAACCATGAATCTCATTAGCAAGACCCATATTTCGGTTTCCAAATGTTAGATCTAGGAAAACCCTAACTAGGATTACTTGGAAACCTAGTAATCCTATTTCAACTAAAACTAAGGTTTGATCATTTGTGAAGAGAAAGTAGAAGACAAATAGTGTAAAGTAAAGCCACAGTACTGATACAGATGAAGCTTCAAGCTTCAGGCGTATCTCTTTTCTTCTCTTTTAATTATTTTTAGTTAGATCTTGATTTTAATTGCAATCTCTTAAGTATTTTAGTGTAGAGATCATGTCAGCCCTATCGATGATCTAAGGGTAAATCTGTGCACTCAAATAGATCAACTTCTAGGTCATAATTTGATTGATTCCCTACGACTCCTCTACTATCTATAATTAACTAGTTTGTGGCCAAATTGAGGAGATTTTTATAAAAATTTCCAAAATTTGCACTATAAACAGTTTGACGCCCACTATGGGGCTGTCGAGCTAATCTATGCACCAAAATATGTCTGATGATGTCATGTTCTCTTCTATTTCTATTCTAGAAACCATAAAAATAGTGACTAGTTTCAGGTATGGGATCTCTAAGACGACATGGCATGTGTCTTCCAGATTACTCAAACTCCACGATCCGTATCGTCTAGACTAGAAGGACATGTTGTGTGTCTCTATCTCATATTCTGCATCACAGATCCAGGGACTTAAGGTCATTAGTCCCTACTCAGCCCACAAGCTTGCATCTGTCTTTTGGGTTGATCTACTCAAACAACACAGTCTGTGTCATCCATAGGACCCTAAAAGTTTTGCTCGTGACCTCAGTCTTGTGTCACAAGCCCTTGTCACCCATTTTATGGACTTTGGAATAAAAAAAAAATATCAAAAAAAAAATGTAAATAAAAAATTATTTGATTCCCTACATCAAGTTTTACTTCGTCCATGATTTGCTTGTATCTCTCACTTGCAAACTAACATTTTACAAAATGTTTTGTAATAAAGGATAGCCGGACCATGATATTAATAAGTTTATGGTTGGAGAGAGATTAATAATTTCAAGTTAATAGTTGTAATCTTAGTTAATAATTTTGAAAATAGCTTTTTAGTTACTTATTAGTCTTAATTAATCTTTTTGAAATTATATTTTCTAATTAATAATTAGGAGATAATTATTTCAATATTTTGAATAACTACTTTTATTTGTTAATTTATATTAAGTATTAAATGAGCATAGTTATATAATTTTGTATATATTTATGATATATACTTGTATGAAACTTAAAATTTTTGCTATAGCAATTTTATATGGTATCATAAAATTTGAATCGAAAATTCAAATTTTATATGTTATCCTAAAAATTAATCAATTTTTATATTTTTATAAGACTGTTGTGCTTTTCTTTCTCTCTCAAAAATCAAATTGAAAATTTATTTCATTGATTACTATTTCATATCATGTGCAATGCACGGGCGTAATACTAGTTAAAGAAAATTGACATCATCTATAAATTACATTACAATAAGGGGCTGTCACTTGGTGTGGCAGTAAAAGACTCGGGTAGCTAGCACAGGTTCGAGTCTTGAGAGAGGCCACTTTGTGCACAAATCAAATGGCAGGACAGTTTCTAGCCCACCCCTCTCGAGACCTTGCTTAGACGGGACCAACAATGGCTTACGACCCTTATAAATTACATTACATGAAATCACAATATACATGCCATGATTGATTAAATATTAAAAAATCAATGATTCAAATTGTATGAGTTTTTGGAACTAAATCAGCCCTAATTCCTTTTAATCTAGGGACACAATCCCTTCCCTCAGGCCCCCCAAAAAAGGCAGGAGTGGGTGGTGTATCGTACATAAAAAGATAGGCATCACTGGAATCCAGTGTCACAGAAACAACAACAATGGCGTCGGGGCTTCTTCCGTTGAGTAGTGCTGGTTAGCAGCCTTATGTCTCCGAGCTCCTCTGCTTCACTCTCGATCGTCTCCACAATAGGAGCAAGATAGAGACATTTTTGCTCTCCACTGTGATGGAATGGTGTACTTTTTCAGTTTCCAATTTTTCTATCTTCTATGGTATAATGGATTGAGGATTAGTGTTGAGCCAAAGGGTTTGGGTTCAAAGGTTCATGCTTTCTGCCATTCAGTTTGTCGAACGTGTTAAAATTTGTGTTTATTTGGAAGACTGAGTGTTATATTAAGTTGTTTGAGACCATGATGCCTGATTATTTCAACGAGATTATCATTGTTGTTCCTTCTTCTAAGATCTGGATTTAACTTTTTTTTTTTCTGTATAATTATCTGCAAATCAAAATTTGAAATTAAAAAATCTACCATTTTCTGTCTTTTTTTTTTATTATTTTAAAAAAAATTGACAATCTGTTCTCTGTGAATCTACTATTTTCTATGTCTATACGCTAGTGATGACTTTTTCGTCAAGATTGTACTTATCATTATTTTTTAATGTAATGAACTTGGCAAATCAAAGCTATGAAGTAAATACAAGTAGCAATGACTTCAACTTTAATCATAAATGGTTGTTAATGGATCATTCAAATTTGGCAAGTGAAATCTATGAAGTAAATATCTTGAGCAATTACTTTTTATACTAAAAAGATTATTTTAAGGACTATCGTTATATGTTGAATCAAATTACAATTTTTAGTGTCATTTGCATGGCAGGGAATCGCAATCCAAGTTCTGCAAAAGAAACAAGAAAATAAAAGATATGTAGCTTTTGAGGAATGAGAGGAACTTTTTTTCAACCTGAATTATCTTCTATGAGCAAATCATATTCTACCATCCATCACAATTAATTTCATATATTTGTTGGAAGATGTTATTTATTGATTGTTTTCTGCAGTATCTAAAAGGAGGTATAATGCTATAGGAACTCAATGCATGGTTAGGATTCCGAGTGCTCTGTTTCCTTCTTGATGTGGATTTATTCTTTTTTTTTATTAAATTGCAAGACATCATGTAAGAAAATGCTTACCATCTAGCTCAAGCTCATATAATCAAATTCAATTGAACCACCATTAAATAGGGAGAGAGGGAGAGAGAATTGAAAGAACATTAATCGAAGAGATATAAAATACGAAGAAAATGAAATAATCGAAGAAAACAGGGGTCAGAGGTTTTGAAAAAAAAAGGGGAGGAGAGAAAAAAAGTACCTTGTGGAGACGATCAAGAGTAAAGAAGTCGTGATGCCATTGTGGCTGTTTATGCGGAATCCAGTGATTGCATTATCTCTTTTTCCATTGTTGAAAAAACCGGGCCATCTAACTGTTAACTATCCGGTTAGATCCGAATTGATTTGGGTGATCTATTGATATTTAAAAAAAAATCAAAAAATATATATATAAATTTTCAAAAATAAGAAATTTGGTTTGTAATACATTTGTTAATATTTTTTACATTATGGTAAAGATTAAAACTTGTTTTTGATAGTTAACACTCACTTTTATATTTTCCTATCCTTTTTTATAAAATTTTAAAGAGTATTGATCTTATAGGACCCTCCCCTATTCATATGTGTAGGATCTCAAAGGATCACTATTAAAGTTGACACCAATCTCTAGAAAAGTTATCATATAGGTGTAGGATTTGACTTTTCTATAGATCCGTGTCAAATTAAATAGTGATTATTTCAAGTCCTACGTATGGGTGGGAGAAGGTCCTATAAGATTATTTCTCAATTTTAAAAATATTTTTAGGTACAAATTGATTCGTTAAAATCCATTTTTTTCATTAATTTTTAAGATGATTTGAATATGTTTTGTTTTAATCATTCTTTTTATATTTTTCATATTTTAATTTCTTTTATTTATTATTTTACAACAATTTTTTCCGGCCAGGGCTTTCCACGTCGGACCGGTTTCTGGTTAAACCACTTCAAAGCATGTCCGGTTAACCAGTCCGGTTCAGTATGCGAACTCTGCGCTCTTCACCATGCACCACCCCAGTCGGTGGGATACAGCTCGCACTCCCGCCTTCTTTTGGGGGCTAAGGGAAGGGATTGCATCTGTGGATCAGGAGGAATTAGGGTGATTTAGATGTAGAAACACATGCTAAGATGATTGCTGAAACCCTAATTTTCTGTAAGTGAAGAGGAGAATGGAATTGACTGTGATCAGAGATTTGGGAGGAGCGTTGAGGCTCCCCAATGGGATCGATTGAGTTAACGTAGGGGAAAAAAACCCAGACAAACGTGTATGCTCTCTCTCTCCCCATTTTATTTTTCTGAGTTGTAGAAAAGTACAGTGTGATGACTGGACACATTGCAAGTTGTGCTTCAAGGTTCCTTTCTTGCTATTCTAATTTACTGATCGACAGTGTGATTTTTAGTTTGTGGGCCAATTTGCAATTCTAACTATCAGAATTTGACTAGCTTCCAAATTTAAAATTTAGAGCGATTTAATTTTTGAATTTAGAGTAATTTCGAATTGCGTTCGGGCTGCCAAAATTAGAATTACATAGAAGGATAAGAGGTTGCGAACACGTTACAATGAGCATCATCTACATCACTAGAGTCACCTATTTCAACTAGATTATCAGTTTACTGATGAGATACATCTGGAGAAATTCATAAGTACCCAAATTAATACATGGATTGACATATTCATGGAATCGATGTTTGAAGTCTGGGTGAGTCTCCTGGGATTCACCTGAGTTACTCGTGTTCAGCACTTCCCGGCCAAAACCCCCCAAAACTCCCCTCATGGGGCTGAGGGGGTCAGTGTTGTATACATACAAAGTGTACCGTACTCTCCCGAGTACTGCAAAACGCACTTTAGAACGAGGGTCAGAAATCTATCCCTCTTTTTCTCTTCATTTCTTTGATTTGGGACCTTAGAGTGTGGTTTGAGCCCATTTTTGGAGTATAGACTAATTTTTACTTGATTTATCCACAAAATAGATCGTATTTGATAAAGAAAACCAAATTTGATGAATTCGAGAGATCGAAGATTTCAGCAAAACTTTCCCTGATTTTGAAGAATTGCGACTACTTTCCAACGGTTGGTTAATCTTTGATGAAAGTTGTTCCCCAAGTGTATTTTTTGGTTCTTTATCCAACCATAGACTTGTTTTTGGCCCATGGAAAAAATAAAATAAAATTTGAAAGATTTCAATTTTGGACTACTATTCATTTGATATTTTTCAATTGCTCGGATCACCTAAAATGGAACTTGAAATCCAAAACTAGCTCGGGGGTTTCAATTGGAGTTGTAAACAAAAGCCTTTAGAGGGATTTGCAGTGTCGATAACCACAAAGCTCGAAAATTGGGGGATCAACCTTGAAATTTTGGGTACGTTTCATTTTTTTTTTGTAAATTTAAATTGATTTATTTTTAATTTTTTACTAAATCAATTACAAATGGTTTATAATTAATTTTCTATAATTTTTCCTTTTATGATTTTTCTGATTATTTTCAGATTTTTCCCATTTTCTCGATTTTTCTATTTTTCAAGCCCATAATGTCGATTCTTTTTTCTATTTCATGTTTTATGTACTTTATTTGAATTTGTTTGGTGTAGTTCTATTTTTGCCAATTTTTTACAATTTTAGTCTTCCAGTTTTTGTCCTCCCTTTGTAGGCTCGGTGTGGACTCAGGCGAATCTACTTGGACTTGCCCAAGGAAGCCCTGCTAGGGGCTTGGGGGCTGAGTTCTGTGGCCGAGCCGAGTTGTAAAGCATTGCATGGACTCAAACTTGGTTCCAAGAATAACCTGCTTTCAATCAATCTTTGCTGGAGCTTAAAATGCTTCGTTTCTTATTTTTGTCCTTTGATATGTTGTTAGTATATGGATATTGGGTGATAACTGAGATCTTATTTATTTACTGAATAGAGATTCACACATTACGGTAAATATAACTCTAATGATTCTGAAATTAGTGTAGTACCTCTCATGGAGAAACAGAACTATCCCTAGATTCCATTAATGCACTCAATGCAAAGACAAATATTGAATAGCCAGGATGGAAGCCCAATTGCACACATAACTTGATGAAAGGGTGCTTGCCTTTTGGTTGTTTCAAATGTCAGTAACGTACCTGTTGTTTCAAAAGTCATTTGTTTGCTACCCATGAAATTGGACGCTCTCTTACCCATCATGACCCTATCTCCCTTATCACCTGTGCAGTTTCTTATATGCTTGAGTAGGATAGCATGATAAGGATACTTCCGTTCATTAGGTTTTTGTGCAATTTGGGTACGATGAGACCTGTTTCCAAATTTCAAGTTTACGAGCCAGCAGTATGTACTTTCATGTTTCAATTTGCCTCATGATGAACCAACCGATATATGTTTATAGGATTCCGTCTTGCGTCCTTTGCATGCTGAGCAGGGACTTTTGCCTTAGCCTGTTGCTTCTTCTAGGATGAGAAGGGAATAGTGCACTATAGCGCTGCAGAACATAGAGCAAATAGTTAGGAAAGCAGGAATGGATGAAAGGATAAACAACTCGTATCCTGCTGGAGACTTTCACTTTATTTCACACCTGGTTTTTTACAATCTCATTCAACTTCTATTTGATATTTAAAGCTTAGAAAACTGATATAGCTGAATAAAGTTCTTATTTGGTGCAGCAATTTGGTTGTAGAATATGATTTTCAAATTCTCTTTGTAATGGCATATCTTATACATAAGTTCCATTGATTTCAATCCTCTCTTTTCCATTTTCTTAGAACCCTTGACGTGAAGATTCTCGAGTATGTCATGCTGAGAACAAACTCACATGGCCATTAGACTTGGTTGTTAATGGCCTATGTTCCAACTTTGGAATTAATTTCTTTTTGAGTGACTGGGTATGGGTGGAAAACTTTCCTGGATCTGGCTTGCTGTGAATGTGGAAATTTTCCCATCATTATAGTTTCTTGGATGATTTGCACGGCGCTGCAGATTACTGTAGCTTTCTGCTGATGTATTTTCTCACGCCTGCTGTTGGATATTCCTGAATTGTTTTAGCTATTGATTATTGTGTTCTTTTTCCAGCAATTGTTGTTGCTTGTGGCAGAGCTTTTATTTTCCTACCAATAAAATTTAATCCTAGGATGCATGGGTACCTCTATTTGGCCAAGGTGCCAGTGTCGGTAGGGTCTGCTATGGGTACTGGTGCAGAACATGGTGGGAATGCGCCTTAGCTATATCCTGCTCGTAATGTGAGGTTTATCAAGACTTAGAGTCTCTATTTTCATCGTAATATACAATATTAAGGATGACGTACATAATAATCTATATTACTCATTAATTACTATAATGACCTAGCTAATATTAAGGATGATGTTCATAATGATACCATATTACCTGTCAGAGATGATGAGTCCCTTCTCATTTGTGCTTCTTGTTTATTAGCTAGGTCACATTTTTAGTTAGAATTATTACGAGGTGAAGTATATCTACAGATATAGATCTTCATAAACTGTTGATGATCAGTCCTTTTCCATTTTGTAGTTTTACTTTTTTTTGTGTTGAAGTTAGAATATTGAGAAACCACTTGATCCCTTTGAGTTATGCATTCAATATCTTATAACCTTCGATTGTAAGGATATCATTAATCCTTTTCTAATTTAGATCTCTTGTATGTTTTTAGTTTCTTAAAATTGATATTTATTGTGTTCCTATCATATTTAATCTTATGGTTTCAAAATGTCAGATAAGATATCTGTACCTGTATCTGTGTCCTAGATTTTGGAAAAAGCCAAGTTGTTTCTTTGCTTATGGTATTTATGTCTGTGTATGTCCCCATGTATCATAGGTTTACTCATGTATCCTATATCTTGAATACAGTATATGAAGCTGTTCTTCTATTTCCAGTATTCAAGACTTCTTAGAAGTTTGAGTACTATGAAAAAAATTAAGTTTCTTGGCTTTTGTTTGTCCCTATAGGTTGCAGATTTCAGAGATTCATTAGCTCAAAGCTGGTTGCACAGAATTTATTGACTCTGCTGAACAAATATTGAGGAAGAGGAAGCTGAATTGAACATTACTTGCAAGTGTAGTACTTGACTTGACTTGCTTGAGATTCCTCAATTAATGGACACGTATGTTTTTCAGCACTCAATAGCTTAAATCTGTGAGTTTTGCTTGTGTGCATGTACTTGAGATCAAAACTCTTCATAAATTATTGTTCTTGTGTTCATTGACTATGCCAGCAAAAATAAGTGAATTAGACATTATTGGTGATGGTCACCTTTTCATATCGATCTTTTTATGTTTAATAAAAGCAAAATAAAATAAGATAAAATGCAATCATGAGATGCGGTTTACAATCATAAACTACATGTCATCTGAGCCATCCTTTCAACAGACGGTTATTGTGAACTGTTCCCGTGCTTAATATCTACTTTGTCATATGAACATCCTCGACCGTCTTATGTAGGCAACAGACAGTTGAGGTGGTGGTGCTGTTTTATTTTTTGTAAACGACATGCATCATTGTTTGCAGCCCCACCCCATCTATGAGATAAGTTGTTTTTAGTTGTGTGCAATGAAGTTGTATTTATGAAAAAGGTGGTTATCTTTGTTTAAGTGATCACAGTTTTATAAAAACATAATGCATTAGTAATGCTCTTTTAAAATTCACTTAAATTAAGCAAGTTCTAAATTTAAATGCTGACAGAAAAATGTCGAGTTAACAACTTAACATGGAGAGCATGGATCAAATAATCTTATCAAGTGTAAAAAATTGCTATGCGGACCCCCTCCCCACCTTAGGATGAAGGGGGCCATATGGGGCACAGGATAGCCCGCTGGCTTTGGTGATCAACACTGCTGTATTCCTCTCCTACCCTACAAACCCACATTTGTTGCTTGCTTTTTTCTTTTTCTGAGAATGTCCTTTTGTTGCTTTCTTGAAAAACGAAAACCTTGCCATTTCTTTGCTTTCTCTCTCTTCCTATGGATATCCATGGCCTGCCCATGCAACCCATTCCTCTCTCTTTTTTGAAGTGGTGCACTTTAGTAATGAGGATACATGTCTGGTGAGGAAGCAACATATTTTCTGGGGAAGATGACAGTTGCCGGAGGGAGGAAACACTGTATTAATGGGGAAGGATGACAGTTGCATATACACAGAAGAGATAGAGAGCAGAGATGGATGCTATTTCAGAAGAGGGGGCAATCGGTAGAGAAAGAAAGAGGGAAAAGTAGTGGTTTGAAGAACAGGGACAAGCATGGGAGGGGATTAAGACATGCATTAACCATTTTAGGTACACTTGGTGGCTATGTGCACCAAGTAGCCTCTGTTTCTATAAATGGGCTTTTGCAAGTTCATAATTTTGGTACCCTTGGTTTTTCTCTCTACCGAATTCATTTTTCCAAATTTGGGGAAGTACAATACTCCCTTTTTCTCTCTCCATATGTCAATACATGCTACCTATTAGTTCTCTATTATTTTCTAAGTTACAACTCATTCTCATATATTATAATTTCTTTTAAGCTTTACAAATTTATTCGTGGAAATTAGTAAACTAAACCCTGAAATGTACACAGTGAGAGAAGACATGGAGGGACATCCAATATTAGGCGCTAGGATGAAAATGTACAAAATTGAATTGAAAAAGACAGGGAGAAGAGATTTAGTTTTTGGGAGGGATGAGGACTGATGCCGCGGCGAGAGAATGAGGATGCTGCTCTCTAGAGAGAGAAGGAGAGCAGATGGTTGATTTGCACAGGAGAGTGAGACAGAGCTCAAAACAGTGGTAAGTTTTGGGAAAATGACAAGTTGGGCATAGAAGAGGAGGGATATACATATAGGGAGAATGGTCTTGAAAACGATTTGAGTATGGAGGGAAATAGCAATGTCGGTCACTGGGGCCACTGAGCTGTCCAGTAGCGCTCCCATCTGGTCCCCTCCCATCCATTGTGTAGGAGGGGGTCCAGTTAATTCTTTTCCACAGACACTTGGAGAATTGGATCTGTTCCCTAACATGGAAAGAAAAACTAATTCTGAGCATTGGTCTGTTTTGGCTCATAGATTCTGAGTTTTAGGGGCTGATGAAGATATGCAGCATTTAAGTACATCCAAATGTCAAATTCCTTTTTTCTCAAAGGGAACCCAGGGACCATATTCTTCTCGAATTTGATTTGGCTGTCATTTTGAAGGGAGCACAGAGGATTGCTGTAATAAATGCTGTTTTCTTTATTTATTTAGTAAGTAATGCTGCTTCATTTATTTAAGCAGCTCTTGTTCTCATTGCTATTCATGTGTTCTGTGCATCTGACATAACCTGGGATTTTGATTTAGCTTCTGAATGTTGGTTGGGAAATTTGAGAGAACTAGAGAGAATTAAATTGATTCATTTGCAGATGTGTATGAAATGGTAATTATGATGAAGCCTTTGACTTGGAGGCGTTTGTAGCCAAGCTTTCAACAATGCATCCAAAGTGAGTGTAACTTTATTGGCAGAGGTTTAGATGGTTTTGCTTTTATAATTTTCTCCTTTTGGCTGACGTGGAACTTTTAACAACAAAGGTTGCCTGTCATTCAATCATTAGCAGAGGAAGTTAGTCAAACTACCCAATCAATGCTTTCTCAACTTCTCCAGAGACTTCATTCAAATATCCAGGTACTTTTGCAAAATTGACTGATGAGCAGAGAGCTGAATGCCTCACGACTACTTACCTGTAGAAGAAGAAAAGAAGAAATAGTCCCTGGTGCGTCTCTTCGCTTTCTCCTCTCAGTTTATATGATGATGTATGGTTTTGCCTTTTCTAAATTAGCATAGAATTTGTGCCACTTTTTGATACCAAACTAGTTGTCTTAACAGCAAGGTTGAAAAATTTGTTATTTTTCTTTACACTTATGACACATGATCTGCAGTTGCCTGAATGCCTTCGTATCATCGGATATCTATGCCGCATAGGGCTATTCACTGAGTCTGAAATGCGTCTGCAGGTAATACTTAGTATTTAGCTCTTAATTGATTTCCACTTTTGAAATTGGGAAGGGAATGGTCTTCATAAAAAGCATTTTTGTATCTTGGAATATCATATTATTAACCTTCTTTATAGATTGACTTTGTTGTCTGTTTGTGTTATTGCTGGAATTATAGATGACTTGGACCAGAGAAATGTTTATGAATACCTAAAACGAATGGTGAACTGCCACGGGATGCATCTTTTTGATGTTGTTGATCAATACCGAGCCATATTTGAAGATGACACATCTGGTAGTGAAGAGAATTATGATGGTGGACTTCTCTTTAGCTGGGCTATTCATCAAATAGAATCACATCTGAATACTCTCAATTCGATATTGCCTAAGATTTCCGAAGTTGGATCCTTATCAAATGTCCTTCACTTGTGCATGATGAGAGGCTTTTTTTCTAAAACTGTCCACATGATGAGCTTTTTTCTGCAACTGTCTACCTGGTTTTTCTTTTATTTTGTATATAAATGATCAATATACACCTTTCAAATTGCTAGCTTTTCATTTTGGATTTCCTTAAATTTGTCTTTGTTATTGGCTTCTAACAGTTGTGGAAGAGATCTTACTTATACATCCAAACACACTTATTTGAATGCATTTAAGATTCTTTCTGTGCTAGTGTATAACAATTTGTTTATGGCTATATATTTCTGTCGTTAATTTGTTCCTTGGAGGTTAAATCAATAGATCCCTGATGCTGGCTAGAGTAATCACATACACCCACTGCATGTGTTATCTGTTCCGCAATATCTTTTTTTTCTCTTGATTATATACTTATGCAGTTATTTCTTACCTTGCTATGCCCATGGGATGTTCTCAAACTTCATAAGCAGATTCATCTCCAGGGATGGCGAGTAATGCAGTTTTGCCGTTATTTCTTGGTCATTTGTTTAACGAGATTCCTTAGCCATTGCCATGCAGAATTCTCTACACTCAGTTGCGGCCCTGGGTACTTTGCTTCTGCATCTTGACAATTGTTTCTTTTGTCTCATAATACAATTCCTGGCCATAGGTTCCCACTTATGAATAGCAGTGATCTCTTTGAACAAACCATGGTGCTGAAAATTTCTATTTATTTATTTATTTGCTTCATCTTTATGGTAACAAATAGTGGATACACTTATACTGAAATTGCATAAACAATCTAGCAAGTTTTACTAAAAAATGTTTTTTCATTTATCAACAGTAGTGTATGCAGAAATCATCTATAGGGATGGCGCAAGTCATCTTCAAAAGCCTGGTTCTTTTATCATTATTCTTAGTATCACTGCCAAGGACAAAGCCCACCTCCAAAAGGTCCATTTTTAAGGATGAGGGAACCAATTATTTCAGTGAGGTATGCATGGCCGAAATATTCTAGGCCAAGAAGAATCCTCTGCACCTCATACTAAGAAGTTGCTCCCTTCTCACAAGTCCCTGATGATGAGTTCATCCTCTTTGCTTTCACTCTCATGAAATAAAATAATGCTACAAATCCCTGATAGTGGGTTCTTCCTCTTCCCTCTCCACTAAATGTAAGAGAGCTTTTTCTTTTTTCAGGTCACTAAATGGAAGAATGCTATGGTCCTTGTTAGTTGTTATTGGGTTCTTCCTCATCCCCTTATGCAATAAATGGAATACTGGCTTATTTTTTTTCGTTTTTCTTTTGTGTAAGGATCGGTCATTAAATGGAATTATGCTACAAGTTCTAATAATGAGTCCTATATTCAATAGGTTTGTTAACGTCCTTAAAATGAGTGTCTTAATAACTCATGCTTTTCTTTTGTGATAAATAACTTATTTAATGGTTATGAATTACATATCTAGTTGTACCTATGAGGGTGTACGCATTGAATAAAAGAAAAGGAGAGGGAAGTGAGAAAGAAAACTTGGAGGATGAGGTTAGAGAGTGTGATGCCTAGACAGGGGTGCGGTTATGGACATATATATGCAGAACAAGGATATGACTCACTGACTCAGCATTTCTCGGAATTCAGGATACAGATGCATATACGAGTATCTTACCTAACACATCTATAAATGTGCATTATAGCTTGTATTACATAGAAATATATGCATCCAACATATTGATACACATATATGCCGCATGCTAATGCATATGACTATGATTTATTCATATTATTTTTCTCTAATCGTGTTATTTTATTATTACAAGTATCCTAGATGTATCTGGTATCAGTATCGATGTTGACACGGTACAACACCAGGCCTATTAAGCATATAGAAGTACTCATGCATTGTAGTTTAGGCAGCTAGCACGTAGCAATTCATATTGTTCCTTGTGGAAATTTCACTATGGGAGTTTGTTCGTATTCATATTTATCCAGAACCAATCACCATATGTTGATTGACATGCAAGTGCATGGTATAATGGGCATTGCTTTCCAGCATGAACAGATGCTCTTAGAAGGTTGGTACATGGATTCTGACACAAGCGGTTCCATGAGAGGCCTCAGCCAAGTGACTAGCATCTTTTGTTAGAAACTTTCACACGTTGGCTTTGATTGTATGAAACCACAAAGTTTTCCTTCGACATGAGGCCGAAAGCGGTTGGGGGGTTGATGTGGCGATGCGGCTCGATGCGGTCCGGATGCAGATGCATCACGGTGACGCGGTCAATAAATATAAAAAAATCTAAAAAAATAGGTTAATGTGTAGAAAAAAAATATGGAGGTGATATATTTAATAGTAGGTATTTAGTTTATTCATTAACTCCAAAAGTATTAGCTGTCGGAGATTCTGTATCCATTGTCCCCTAATAGAAACTAAAAACTTAAAACTAGCTTCATAAAACATTCAACAATCAACAACCATAACCACAAATCTACAACCACAAACTTTAAAGTTACAAAATACTACAAACTAAAAGTCTATGAAGATTAAAGAGTTTTAAAGTTACAAACCCTCGATTTGTTGCCACAAGTTCGCCTAAACTTTCTCAATCAACACTCAAAAGATACGAATCAATAACCAAGCATCAACAAATGCACAAATCGAAGAACTTCAACAACTAAAATTTCTGCCCAAAATTTTTTTTTTTGATTCAATCGATCCAATAAAAGCCATGAATGTGGCAGAAAAATGTTGTTTGGAGGGTTTAATACCCCCCAAACCCTTTCCCCCCCATTTTCGAAGGTCAAAATGACTTTATTACCTATGTCCGAGGGGTACAATTTAGAAAAAAATGGCAGAAGATTATGCGACCTGATGTAGTGAGATCAGGATGGGGATCTGATGCGGAGAGATGTGGCGCATATGTGGGCGCATCTCTCCAAACCGCATATGCGGGGATTTTTGATGTGTTGCCCAGCGCATGGCGCCTAATCGACCGCATTTTAAAACATTGATCAGCCATGCTTGCATGTCACATGGGTTTAGAAGAGATGCATTTTCATAAGGTGACATGCATGGGCTTCCTTCACCTGATGAACATGGCACCACAATTGAGGAGCACTTGCATGCTCTTGGCTAAAAACATTGCGAGGCCCTACTAGACGTGACACCTTTATTAATGGAAATACCCCTTGATTATTTGAGAATGGAAGTTGGAGAGTGTGAGAGATGATTATTCAATAGCACCCACTTTAAGTGATATATATATATATATGAAAAAAATTATCAGAAAAAGTAGGGTTAGCTGCATTTGGATCATATGCATCGGAGTTGTCACCCTCCTCGACATATTGGTCTTCCTCCTCCGTCTCTTATGAATTTGCCTCTTCTTCCTCCTCTTCTTCCACCCTCGTCTTCTGTGCAGAAGATGTAGTGGCCCTAGGAGGGTCGGCTGATGTCCCTGAAGCATCTATGACCATGTCCCATGTCAATCCTTCATGCCCCTCGACCTCATCATCATTAATTAACCACTCCATAGCATTGTCCATATTTTTTGATATGAGGGTCTCTCTTATCTCTCTTAGGAAACCTGTCCTTCAAGAATCGATTATACTTGACGTAGACTAGGTCATTGAGCCTCTTTGATTCATGCCTGTTCTTTTTTTTTGTATGAATCTAACAAAATCAAATGGAACTAATTGATATAAATATTAAATAATTATAATCTATAGTTCATGTATTACTAATACAATTATACAAATTACCCTTACCCCTTCAAAAGTACTCCAATTGCGCTCACAACCGGATGATGAAGTGTTTAGGTTTAAGATCCGAATGGCCAACTTTTGTAAATATGGAGAACTACACCCATGTTGGCTCCACCAATTGGCTGCAAAGATATATAATAAAATCATAAATAAACAATAGAATATAAAAATGAAACTTGATTACTTGAACTTGATGAACTTAAGAATATTATTACTACTTGGATTAATTTTGGTCCTTTGCCTCATCGCCATTGGACTCCTAAAAGACTTTAATGAGTACTTGTAATTTATCAGCTCATCAACACATATAATATCCTGGATATCAGGATCAGGGACTAGCACATCTACACACTTATTAAATCCATTCATAATTGTGTCAAATGTGTGTATATCCTTGTCAACATAAAAAAAAGCTGGGTTCAAATAATAACTAGCTGCATGCAATGACCGATGTAGCTGCCTATCCCACTTCTCATCAACAATCTCCCCAACAAGTTTATAACGGCTCTCAACATCATCAAAATTTTGGGCTCTCTCTTTTTTGCCTTTCTCCATAACCTCATATATGTAGCCCACAGAAGCCTTGTCACTCAACCATGCGAAGGACTTTGACAAGAAAAAAAAATACCTTAAGAGTGCCCTTCACCCCTCGCCAAAAAGCTTTAAAAAGGATAATATCTCTCACCTTCTTCCCAACCTGATCCTTGGACTACTTGCATGCTCTCCAGCCATCCGAGGTAAACATTTGCCTCAATTGCACTTACCTCAAATGTCTGCTATCTAGGCATAAGTACCAGGTCGCAAATCTCGTGACCCTAGGCCTCACAATCTCTTTCTTCTTTGTAAATCTACGCATCATGTTGAGGGTGACATGGTAGCTATAAATGAAATTTGTAATTGACTTTTCCTTCTTCACTGCACTTGATATCTTGGTTAAACCGCCATGAGCCTTAAGCATGAGGTCCATACAATGTGCTGCACACAGTGTCCAAAAGATTCTTGGATAAACTATGCACACCAAATTAGCAGTATCAACATTAGGAACAACATTGTCTGTGACAACTTGTACGACAAGATGCTCCCCAACGTCCTTGATTCCCTTCTCTATAACTTAGAATATGTAATGGGCATCATGGGCATAATCAGATGCATCAATAGACTTAAAAAAAAGTCCCTAAAGGACAATTCGCAAGCAAATTCATCTGACTTATTCTCTTTCTATCGCTCCAAGCATCAATCATAATAGAAACTCCATACTGAGCCCATGCATCCTTCTTAACTTCTACAACATCCTTCGTGACACTCACCTTTTTTTTTCAAAAAAGGCTCTGAAAGCTCATATGGGGTTTGAGGGTTTCATCCCAGGCCCAAATTGGCTAATTGCCTCTACCAAGGTATAGAAGCTGCTTAGGCGAGCAGTATTGAAAGGAATGCTCGCCTCATAAAACCATGTAGCAATAAAAAAAGTAGCTCTATCTCTCTCTTCTTTCATTATATTTTCAATAGTGGTTTGCTTCTTTGTTTTCTTTCCTGCAACCTCGAGGTCTGGTCAGAGCAAAAAACCATCCATAGATCCCTTAACCCAAGGCTTCTTACTCCCAAAACTGGAAGAAATTACAACTCCTTTACCCTTTCCCCTAATAATGGATTGTTTTACCTCTTGGCATCCGTTCCCATCCTCATCATCATAACTGACTCGAACCTCAGACCTAATCTCTGATAGGAGGAAAATTTCTCATCTTTTTTCATTTTTACCGTACTAAAAAATTCGTTATTTCCTCTTTAACAGCATTAGGAGTTCTTACATGGGGCAACATCCCCCCTGATACCGGTAAGATGTTTCTTGAACCTATTTATGCCCCCTTTGTATCCTTTTCATAAAACTTGCATTTTATGCAATTTTTATCATTAGGATCTAGGTTGTAGCCATATTGCCAACCGGGATCACCACTCCTATTAGATCCCAAAGAAGATATTTCAAAATAATACAACTTATACAAGCAATAAAAAAAATCACTTACTTTGAGTTTGATTGCTCAATCTCCAAACTTCTACCTCAAAAATGCTTCTAAGGATTGAAAATCTTCTAAAAAACCCCCAATAGATTTATAAAACATCAAAAATTAAATTTGATATCAATAGGAGATATTTTGATCGATTCTCATAACTTTGAGAAACCTTTGGATAATAAAGAAAATCACCAAAAACTAGTTTTTTGGGAGCTTTCTCTATCTCTAAAATGGGCTCTAATGAGTTTTACGTTTCAAATGAACCTAAATCCCACATTTGTGGCCCCTTAGTATAAAACAAATGACAAAAATTGCCCCTACCGAGTGCCTTTTCCTCCTTTGGGCGGGGTGCAGTCCCTGGGTGCTGGGCGGCCGCCTAGGCAGGTTCTTGGGCAGACGTCCAGGGTTTTCCGCCTATTTTTGGAGCCTTGGCCTGGATGATGCGGCCAGGCCCCCTAGACCGCCCCTAGGCAACCGCCTAGGCGTTGGGCGGTCCACTTTTTGAAACACTGATTGTGCTATGGGGGCTGGTCCGGATTTTTTAGGCTTACTTCCTCCACTTTTTGAAGAGTAAAGATTTCAAGTTTCCTTGTTCTATTGTCATGTATAATTTTTGCAAGTATGAGTTTTTATTTTTACAGGGCTATACATAAACCGTTTTCAAAGAATATGAGTACGGAAGCTGAAAATTTTCAGGTTTGTAAGTTTTATAAGATTTAATTTTGAGTACCTGATACAGTGTGACATGGTGAGCCGTGGAGTGCTATCAATTGATTCATGATCCATCCACTGATCCATGCTTCTTATCTGAACTTGTAGGGTGTTGGCACTGATAAATTAGGTTGGGTGGCGTTGTCCATTGTGGAAATACTTTTATCTGTTAGACTCTTAGTTGCCAGTTCAGTGACGTTGATATAATGTTATCATTTATGCAGCTTGTCTTGGATTCACACTGTTGGATTCCACTGCTACCTGTGGGTATTACAATCCGAGTTGGTAATGATGATAGTCATGATGATTTGACGCCACCGTCTTCTTCAATGGAACATCCACCTATTGCCGTCTTTTTTGATGACTCAATGGTAAGCTTAAGTTCATTGTATTTAATTATTTTTTCGCAAACTTGCCTCGTTTTATGATAAGTGAAATCTTGGTGCATTGCATGCATATAATTTCAGTATATATTCTGAGGAATTGGTATGAATTCTTATGTGGTTCCCATAATGATTTAATTCCTGACAACAGTTTAAATTTCCCTTACTGAATAGCATGTACTAGGATGAGTTGCTGAGATCCATGATAGTATCTAATAGTGTTTCAATATCAACTTTATCATTTGATATTATAGCCATTTTCTGTTGCAGTGTGAGAAGTTGATGACCTTTTCATGTGGGCTAACCCCCAAAATGAGCCAAGACGAGCCCAATTAGCTAAGGATTTCATAGGCTTCGATTTTCATAATACCTGCATTTCCCATTAAGATTTGAAACAATGAGAGGAAAAGTACAAATGGTACACTGGACAAATTTTATTTATTTATTTTTAATATACATACAGGACACACTGATATGTAACTTCCTGGGTGTGCTTGACGATAGGGCAACCTGGTCCACCATTCAATCTTAGAAAGGGAACTATGACCCAGAGTGTCGCCATCTGAGTTGCTACCCCACTAGTTGAGCCCAAATAACCTCTTTAAGTGATCAATCAGACGACAATATTTTCATGGACTCTATTAAAGCAACGATCTATTGGCATCTGGAAGGCACCAGAGAGCGTAAAGCTCTAAAAGTTGTGTAGCTGATGACACTCATTGCATTCCACCAAAGCAAATCAATCATATAACAAATGCCAGTATGGAGATTCCATGAAGGGAACTAAGATGTTGGCATGTTGCATAACACTTTGTCTGACGAGGCCTTGGTTTCCAACCTCATAATCAGTCACAGATTCTGTTAAAGCGACCTGTGGGCATCTGGAAGACACCAGATGTGATGAGTAGGGGACATCCCTGGAATATGGGACCCAAACCCTAATATGGGGTTTCTAACTGGGGTGGCACTGTAGCTTTTCCCCCTAGGATGGACCAAATTCTTCTGTGTACGCTTGTGCTCGTGGGTGTGTTTTTTGGGGTGGGGTGGGGTCGTATGGCATGGTCTCACAGAAACAAGTAGTACAGTTGCTTCCTCGCTTTCACCGGCAAAATGCTTACTCAGGTCAGGAGGATTTTTTTTTTTTTGGTTTTAATCTGAAATTTTGCGAAGGAAAAAGGAAACTGGTTTTGCAAACATGGAAACATAGACGTGAGTGACCAGCAAATGACGGATCACGTTCATAGTTGGACCGACATTCATTTGGTTAATTTTTATAGTATAAAATTGATTTTGGATTGATCACTGGGGTAAATAAAGATGATGTGAATGTTTGGGATCAAACAAATCTCATAAGTAGGTGTTTTGCCCTCCAGAGCAAGTGTACCATTTGCTTCCTTGGGAGCACCAAATCTTCTCCCCTATCCACATTTTTTTTTACCGGGTTTTGTAGATTTGCTGCTTGCATGTTTTTTCCTGCATGCCTACCCCTTTGTGATGCATTTGTCAGTTCTTTCATTGCAGTGATCGTACATTTGTATGTAATTCCATATTTTCTGTTTCCGTAATTCAGGTGTGTCAGCAGCCTTGAACGAGCTACGACCATGTGCACCTTCACCTTTAAGTTTAAAACATGCTCTCGCTCAAGAACTCATGAGAGCTCTACAGGCTGTCTCAGATTCCCTTATGAGGTATAATGCTACTCGAATTTAGAGACAATGAATCCACACTGGTTCATGCACTCTGCCGCACTTTCATTGAGGTGAGGACCTTTTATGGCGCTTGCATCCATACTATCAAACTTATTATTATCATCCTTTTTGTTAGCTAGCCCATCTGTGTGTGTGTGCATGGGCGCGCGCACGTATGTGGACATGTATCAAAGCTCGAAAGTTAAGTCTTACATTATTTACATCTCGGGTAGGTTGTGTGCCCATACTGTGTCATGTGCTTCGGTCGATGTTATCCTGGTGAAGCTGCAATTATAGATTTGAAGGTTTCATTTGCTGGACTTTGCCATGTCCTTGCCTCTGCTCCTTCCCCTGTAGTGAGGGGACTCCCTTCTAGGTCAGTTGATGTGCCTTGTGTAAGCACCGACAACAGAAAACAGGGACGCATCTCCCCGAGTGAACGAAATTTCAGAAGAACCTGACGTTAGTTCTTCAAATCAAAATCCAGGGGAGTCAGGACAGTCTGCCTCACCAGAAGCACTGAGCAGGTTGCAACAAGACTCGTAACTTTCATTCTTTGAAACACTTACCTGATGAAATTATTTGGGTGTAGCCTCTAAGAATTCATTTGATATGACAAGATTTGATTGGTTCATCTAGTGTAACACACTCAAAAGGTAACCATTGTTTCATTTTGTAGAAGAAATGTATGTCTATATTGTAAGACACCTATTTTCTACAACTGTCAAGAACTTGGTGTCGAATTTATAGGCATTTGTCCACTTTGGGAGTACTCAAATGTTTTTGAGTTTGCACTCCCTATAGTTTGTCAGATGAACCAACTAGCAACCAAACTACTCGCTAACTGCTACCCAAGCTAGCAGCTAATGGATAAAAGAGAATTGCCTAGTTGTATCTGATTGAATGACCGCTACCGGGTCAAACTAGCAACACCGATTCATTCATAGCATTTGGGAAGTCCAAGATTCGTTTGTTTGTCCTGATACAATGGATGATGCTAGCTGCCATCTTCTGTACTTCCAAGTAATCTGTTATTTCCTCTCTAGATTCACGCCGTCTCTAGAAACTATTTCATTGGATGTTATGCCTTAATCATTGATAAGGAAGAGCTATCTCTAATCTCATTTGATGTTTTATTAATGAGGAAGATTTGCTCTGCCCTGGGGTGGACCGCTACAGTGTCCACCCCACATAATCTTCACGATCAGTAGAGACATTTGTTTGGGCATTGGGATCTGAAAATCAAGAACACTAAGAGAAAAATTTGAAAAAAAAAGAAAAAAGAAGAAGAAAAACTAGAAATGTTTATTTTATGAGAGAGAAAATGGAATGAATATGGGAGGTCAATCCAAGGTGTTGTAAAATTCTGTTATAATGAGACTTCAGGGTTTTGTTTGACTTGGCACATTTGGTTTGCATGAAAATGTTTTTTAGAAAATTTTTACACATGAAAAATTTTTCTCATGCGGTCAAGTGAGAATATTTTTACATCAATTAATTGTCAATTGGTATGAAAAGATACACCAAGACCAATTGGTATGAAAACATTCTCACACTTGATTGCGTGAAAGAATTTTTTTCATGTGAAAATGTTTTTTAGAAAACATTTTCAGACAAACCAACCATGCCAAAATTTTGTAGATGCCTCAAAGGTTTGTTTAATTTTAATTGTAGATCGTCTTATTATTATCATTTAAATAAAAAAAATGTATTATTTAAGGCCTAGATCTTAGTATTCAAGATATAGGTAATCTTTATTTGTTATTGGAGCAACTTTTTCAGGCATTCACCCATTCCCAAAAATTCGGATTCGGATTTTTTAGGCTTGAGCAGTAAGTGGGGCCCATTCCAAATTTTGGGGCTCAAAGGTCCTCGTAACTATGTTGTTGAGAAGGAGCAGGCTCTGTTAGGATTCACCTTATATAAAACCATTTAGCCCTCTGGTGTCACATTGAGCCCAATCTGTATGCAGCCTTTTCGTCATATTGAACCCGATCTGTGAAACTTGATCAACGGCAGTATCTCCAGTCTTAAAAAACATGTGCATAAAAATGTCACATGTCAAGCATCTTTTTATTTTATTTTTTGGGCGATTGTATACTATGAGACTATTTACTATTTTACAAAGAGGCCACAATCGCTCCTAGCCATTATGTTTAATGCAGTGAACACCTAACCATGAAGCTATCCAATACTCGGCTGCTAAAATTATTTTTTAGTTCACATTTCATGCAATTTTTCTTTAAATTAGTGGGATTAGAAATGTCCCTCATGTTTTACAATTTACGCTTGTTTTACAATTTACACTTGTTTTCAACTTTTTGTGATATTTTCCCCAAAGTACATTTTGTTTGAAATTATTTTGTGATATTTTTCCCAAAGTACATGCTCTTATAAGTAAGAGAAGGGTTAGAATATACCATATGGACCATCGACTTAGGTCCATCCACCCGTGACCTCCTCTCCTCTGCGGCTTCTAGAAAATACATGATCTCACCAAATGGCAATCATGAGCCAATGGTTTTGTCGCGAACACGTCCCATGCGGCCAGGAGCATGAAGAAAAACAAGGTAGAGTAACGTTCGGGCATGCAAAAATCCAGTAATTTCCTCAAATCAAACACCTTGTGATTCTGGGAAGGAATGTCATATCCCTTCTTGAGCCTATCCATAATCTCTTTTGTAATGGCGTTATTCCCTTGCATATGTCTTAGTAATTGTGGCCAGCAAAATGTTCATGGTTACGAAATGAGGAGATTACAAAGTACACTGGTCTTCCACTAAACAACTTCCAATAAAAACAACTTTGGGAAAACAATTAAGAGCTTTGCTCTTTTACAACACTTCCAATTACAATATACTGAGAAGAATAAAAGGGCAAATACAACCAAATGTGTATGAATATGACATGGCTTTGGGAAGCCGATTTAATTCTTAATTATCGCACGACTAGCACAATAGTTTTGGTACAACCCTTGTCATCACTCCCAAACGATAGTGCAAGAGGGATGGCTCAGATCTAATCAAGGGAAGCATAAATAAAATGCCACAGTAATAAGTTCTCACACATCACACATGGGCCGAATGAATCTCATGTGGGATATAGGACAATAAGAGCAACGAATAGGAGAATAACAATTAAATCCAGACACAAAAGGTGTAGTCTTAATGCATTGGTCTTCTATGGCCTTCTATAAACAAAAGGGCATAGGAAAATCCAGCATAAGACCCTAAATAACATTTGTAACTCACTGTTATGGATTAAGGAAATCATATTTTAAGCAAGGGATAGGCTCTTAATAGATCTCAAAAACATGTTCCAAGACTATACAAAATACATGCCATTGCAACCACAATTGCAATGGACATCTCAACACAAGATGAGATCAAGACGTCACTAGTTAAGCTTCAAAAACACACCTAGAGATCACTGTTATGGATGAAAGGGCTTAGAATTTTGGCAACATAAAGTCCATAACAGTTTTGGGAAAACACGCTCGAAACTACACCTCAAGATGTATGTCATAACGATCTATTAAATGAAACGAGTAATGAGTTTGAAAGGAAATGAGATAAGGCCCGTGAGTTTACTGTCATGACCAAATTACAGCTATAAGACATCCTTCAAAACAATAGGTAGGATTCTTGGAGAAGTTCGTGATGGGGTTCAAAAGGCCATGCTTTTAAGATATGATCAATCGTATACCTTATCTCACATTACGGGAGGATCAAGACACAACTTCAAGAGGACACGAGACAAAGATATGAGAGTGGGGTGGCATGGCTCTCTTGAAGAGAATTGCAAGTGATCCAGATGAGAGAAAAGAAGAAAGAATTGATAAAAAAAAGAAAAAAGAAAAGAAGAAAATAAGAAAGAAGAAATATAAAATGAGGTGTGATAGATCCTATTTATAGAGGTTTTAGGTGTGGACTTTAACCTAGATTAGATCTTGGCCACCCAATGAATGATCCAAGTGTTGAGATAGGCTAAAAACCAAGCATTATCAATCACCATTGATAACTATCATATGACCATGTACACCCTTATCACCATGCTCATAAGACACCTCCATATTTCCTATAATTATAAAAGTGCCCTTCAAGACCCTAATTTTGTTTTAAACAAAATCTCAACCCTCCATTTTGAAATCTTTTAATCACCACCATAAAAAAAAAATTAAAAAATCATCTTCCCATAAGGGGGCTGTGCCACCCCCTCACTACATCTTCTCTTTGTTCAATCTTGCACTCCACTTCGTCTGTTATGAAGTGTCACTTTCATAGGGGACATTATATCCTTTATCTTCTCATCACCAATCAAATGCTCTCATGTATAAAAATCAATTAACCATCAATCACATGATTTAAAGATTAAATAGATTTTAGAAATTTAAATCGTACACTCATACATGTGTATACGCATATGCCACCACACATGTGCTTTAAAATACTACAAATATCAACTTTATGAGCACTAACCAAACAAGGCCTTTGCATCAAATATCCTAGGTCCATCCACATCACGTTCGTTCATAGGACAATGACGTTGCAATCCAGTGGTTGCATATATGACATACATTGGCCATTTGTTTGCCACATGTCGCACATGTGAACCGTCCTCATTTGGAATTGCAACATAAAAAATTTAATAAATCAATTTTCCATGAAATAAAATTTCCAAAAATTCTCTAAAAATATGATAAAACATTTGTAATTATTTTAAATCAAAATGATACATTCTGACAAATTAGATAAATCCAATTTTAAAATTAGGACCCTTGTAGACACCCTGATCCCGATTGAGAAAACAATATAAAACCAAAGTCCCAGGGACAACTACCCCAAGGACTTGAACTATCTCCAACACTTGATAGAACCTTGCCATAATACCTAGACCACGAGTAGAATTTGAAACTCAGTGAAGCAGCCTCAGGTGGCCCTCAAAGGGAAGAATGGAGCTTAAAAATGAAAAGAAGAAACAAGTGCTTAAAGGAGAAAAATGGCAACTAAAACACCATAGCCGTCAACCACCAACGTTTTAAGGAGGTGATAAACGTAACTTAGGTTGGAGAGTCGTTGACACATATGAAAAATGCGTCGCAATCCCTTTGGCCACAAAGGCAGTCTAACTGTCTAACATTAGAATGATGAAATTATCATCATTTTGACAATAAGTAAGTTCGCAACTGCACTAACGAAGGTCACCTCAAGGTCCGAATCTAATTGGTTGAGAATGGCGGCTGAACCGCCTGACATCGGAATGAGAGAAATTGTAATCATTATGGACAAAAAAAATGCAAATGGTATCAAAGTACTGGTAACATCTATGCCTCTTGATTGGCCAGAGAAACCGCCACTTATTAGACATAGAAATGTAGGAACTGAAATCTAATTATTGCACCATCGTTAACAAAAATGATGATGGCAACTTCATTGGTCAACCTGGAAATTTCTGAATGGCCAAAACACCTCTGGTGTTTTGGTGTCATTATGATCCATTGGTCTTGCAACCATCATTGACGGAATTGAGGGTGTCGTTTCAGCCCCAAAATGCACAAAACGGAGCTTTGAGTAGTGGCAACGAAGTTGACACCCCTATTGCTTATACAACACGGCAATGCTCAAAATCACATGGGCCATAACATCAGGGTAGCATGTTACAAAACTCGTAATCATTATACGTCAATGAGTGTCACAGTTGCTTGACCACGACTACCATCAATGGCAGATATTCAATCTTCGCTTTAG